AGCTAGAGTACAGAACGGCACTGTTAAATATTTAGCTAAACTTCTGGTTTTATTTTGATGGAGGCAGCAGGTAGGAATATTCTGAAAGTGCTGTGCACAGGGTAGCAAAAGTTTTATCAGATATTTTGGAATAAGGAAAAGAAAACTGGGAAATGATCACTGAAATAAAAGTCTGGGATGTATGTGTGATTTTGGCTGCATGCAGACACAGTGGAGGTGGAAAATGTTAGAGAACTTTCAAGTTCTTGTTACCGCATCCTTTCTGGGCAAATAGGGAACTCTGCCATCTCTCAGAATGACCGCTAGGGGACACTCAACATGGATCATAAAAAACGGACGGCGAGTTCCTGACATTCTTTCTGAATATGTATGTTCACCTCTTTTCTGTTGCCACAATCCTGTGTCTGGTTTCCCTGAGTCTTGATTTTGAAAGTCTATTTTTATTGTCTTGTATGCTATCTCAAATCCTTTTTAGTTTGAAACAGCAAAAATAAAACTAAAAGAAACACTACTCAGCCATATCGTTTGCCCCCGTTGCCCACAGTGGATGTGAAATAAACTGCTCAGACTGGCGTGAAGCTTTCATCGACAGGCTGAGATGGCTCCTATCGCAGCACACAGGCGAGGATTTGCACAAATCAAACAAAGCAGTTCGGAGAGTATGAAAATGATTATTTTCAACATTTTTGCTAGAATCTTCCTTTGACTGAAGTGGGCAGCATCTACACTGAAATAAACTGTCACTGGGTTTCAGAGAGCTACAGTCATGTTAAGCATGGCTATTTAGAAAGCTTATGTTGTGGTCAAATTCTAGATTAAGGAATTAAAATAAATCACTTGAGTCTGATGGGGAAAAAGTGGATCATACACATTCTCAGACAACAAAGTCGAACATATTGTCACACTACGTCCAGTTCACCCTGTGAAATAGGATTTCACTTTTTTGGAATATAATCTGTTTAAATATGAAACCTCTGCTAGATTGTACAATTGAGGGAATAAACTGTACATACATTAATTTCTGGAGCTTGGTAGACAAGACATGTTTGCTGAAGAAAATATTTTGTAACAGCAATCTGGAAATATCTGTTAGATGGTAGAAACCAATTTCTTCAAGAGAGAAATTAAAATTGGAATCATGGTCTCAATTGTAAACTTCATAAGTATTTAGTCTATTTCATACAAGCATGTACAGATACCTAATTTAAATTTCTCCACTTAACAATATGTTTAATTGACTTACATGTTTTTTAGTCTTTCTTCCTTTTTTTTTTTGGTACTTGTGTTTTTTGGTGGCCCTGGGTTGTCTTGTTATTAAAGAGACCCCTCCTCATCTTCCTTTATTTATAAGTATATTTATAGGTTAAAACTTTTTACACTTTAGCAAGGAAGAGATTATGCATTAATGGCAATGATAAATATAGATTTATACAATTAAGTCAAACTGTTTTCAAAAGGCATGTAGAAAAATGGTTACTAAAACCACTAAAGGATAGCATTATATTACAGTAAGCATAAAGTGCAATCATATAGAATGTTCACCTAGATTCTGGAGTTGGGACCTTTCTTCTTTTTTTAATTTTATTTCCTCTTTTTTATTAGGGATGAGCCTTTGAATGTTTCCATTTTTTAAACTTAGGTTTTCCTTCCTTCCTTCCCCCCTTTCTTCCTTCCTTCCCTCCTTCCTTCCTTCCTGGGTGAGGATAGTGACAGTGGAAAACACCCCAATATATTGTTAAAATCACATAGACCTAGTGAATAAACCCCTTGAGTGAATTATTTTTGGATACTGAATTTTAAATGTCGTCCATTTGAAATTCAGAGCATTGAATAGAAAATAGTGGTGCATTGTTAAAATGTTGCCTATAGTCCATAGGAAGTAAATAATAAACCATTCAAATGCTTTGTTTTTACATCAACACAGTAGTAAAATATAGTTTGTGATAGATTTTCACTGGTATTAAATTTTGCTCTAGTTATTAGTTATAGACTATTAGCAGCTATTTGACAAGCAACATTGAATTCAAAATTTATTTTTCTATTTATCAGATAATAAGGAAAGACAACACATAATCTCATTGAACCAGACAAACAATTTATCTCAAGTGTAAATCTAAACTATGATTCAAAAATAATTATGGGTCAGACTTCCATTTATACCACCCATCTCTTTCTTAGGAAAAGTTATTCCTGTCCTGTGCTTCCCTGGTTTAATAACTGAGTGATTTTTCCATACTCAGAGGAGACATTTTTTAGGAACCCAAATGATCCTTAAGCAGGTTTTAAATGGGCCAGGCAGGAAGCTCCATGAGGCTGGGTTGTACCCTGGCACCAAGCATGATGCCTTGTATAGAGTAAAGGGGTGCTTACCTGGTATTTAGTAATATAGGGGTGCTCACCTCATATCTGCTGAATGAATGAACAGTGAAATCACAGATTTGGTCATTTTGGAAATTAAACTAGAAGTAGTTTTAATGTCTACCTGTTTTTGTTTCAGAAAATCAAGTGGCTTCCTCAGCTCTCTGCTGCATGTACATGTCATGTTACATCAAGAGCTATGCATTCTCTCCTTCGACAGGGATGTGTACCTTATGACCAGAATTCTAAAGTGGCAAACATACGTGCTAAAGGCACACTTACCTTCAGTCATTACCACTCGTTCTGATCCACTGTTGCTTTAAATAAATTGCTTGACTGTAAATGCACTTCTAGTTTTAGTTACATAATTTCAGGTATTATTAGGGGGAAAAAACTCAATTAAACATACCGCGGTGTATTAGAATGCCGGGCTTGAAGCCAGGCCATGTAGATGAGGCTAGGTTCTACCTAGGGACCCGTGTGAACCTGAGCAAAGTGTGTAACCTCTCTGGTCCTTCACTAATAAATAAATAATACATATTTCAGGAGGCTGTTATGAGGACTAAGAGCAACAAGAAACTGTAAAGGACTTTACATACATAAGGCTTTGGTTTTGCTATTCAAATTCCAAGAGATAATAGTTGAATTGTTGACTTTCTTCAGCCTGTGTCTACATGTGAGATGGTTTTGACAAGAAATTAATGGGAACAGACACTTGGCCCATATTCTCCTTGTTACCAAACCTAGTCACTTCAGGATAATGCTTGATCTAAATGCTTGTGCCAAAGTAGAGAAATTTCTAGTGAAAATGTTTAGAGACTTATGAGGTCAACTCCAGGGACTCTTGTATCTCTGATCCACCCGAAGACATTTATCCAAGCACTTATTTTTATCCTTTTATGATTAATCCCAGTCTTTGAGCTAAAATAGTTTTGTGGCAATTTGCACTGGTTGTTAAAACAGCCCCAAGAATCGAAGTAACCATTCCTGGGATTGTATTTTGAGTTCCTTCCCATGGTTTTTACCCACTGATGTTTGTCTCAGTTACTGACCTAGGGACCGATGAGTACACTCCCAGCAGCAGAATCCTTCAGGCCTCAGAGAACCAATCTAGGTACTCTCGATTCAGGCAGTGCTTCTCAAACTGGGGATACGGTACATTTTCCAGGGGGTTCAAAAGAGGTATCTGTAGTTATGAGTACCAATTTTACTAGTTGGTAAGTAATATAAAACATTATTTCTTTTCTATTGAAACATATGCTATGGAGTGAAATGCAGCATTTTCCATGAATTTTTAATGTAAAACATAAGACTTTAAAAGAACTCTGTGCTCGGTACATTCCCAGACCGTTTCAGGCAATTCACGTCCATCCTCTGTGGCGGGTTCAGTTCATTGACAAGTTTAGGAAGCGCATTCCGAGAGCCCCAGTTCCCGTACTGCCTCCCTGTAAGACACCAAAGTCAAAGTGTTTTTAGAGGAGCATTTAATTTTTTTCCTTGCTGAAGACCTTTGGCTCAGAGGGACTAAGACCTGGAGGTTAAGCTTTCCATAGGATGTTCTTGGACATTCTTTAAAACTTAAAATATATTAAAGGTGAAAAAGTTTTTAAGAAGAAATGCTTCTAGAGGGGAAAACCTAGGATTCCTAATCCAGGCGAGATTTCTAATATGAACATTCTGGAGCAGGGATCTCAAGAGAAGGCCTAATGGATACATGAAAGGACATTAGTGAACTGTTAGGGCAATAAGACAAGTCCATTTGCACAGACAGATACATTGTCAATAAATTGAGATTCAACAATATGGAGACACTAGAAAATAATTGCGTCATGAGATTTGACATAAAGAAAATGATTTGCATAATGTATTTGCTATTCATCTAACAGCAGATACACCTATTTGACCTGAAAAACTATATATAGGAAATTCAAACACTTCAGATTTACAAAAACTGACCAACATTTAGTTTTAGACACCGAAATAAGTATGAGTAATGTAAATATTAATGATTAAGGACCATAAACTCTTCAAGGTTATGTTTTGACACAAACATGAAAACTATTAAGAAATTCTAAGCACAGTGAAAAAGACATGTTTAATATTTTAAGCATCAGGGCAGCTTGGATTTCAACTAGGATCAAGACTTGTTTTCTTATCTGAGATATAATGACCAGATTGTGTTAATAAATAAATGTTATTCCTTAAACTAGATTCTAAATATTTGGGTTGTCTTTTTCCATTTTAAAAATAGAATAAAATTTAGAATACTTTCTTTCTTTAAACAAGATGTTGTGCTTTAAATTTGTTTCAGAATTCTCCAGACTATTTTTCTACTCGCAAATGTGCATGCACACACGGACACACAAAAAACATTACGTTGAGGCAAAACTTGGACATTCCTGAGAGGCCAATGAATCATTAATTTGAAGGTTTAGGAATAATTTTGTCTCGGTTTTTATTGGGGCAGAACTGAGACCAAGAGGAGGTTTTGGAGGCTCGTCCAGGATCACACTCCCGGTAGTTTCATATCTGGAGCCAGAGCCTTGATTTCTTGTGACATAAACTTGATTCAAACGACCTGGGTTCTAGCAGGAACTTCACCAGCAGGGCAACCGCCAGCAAGTGCCTTAACTCCTCTGGATTTCACTGTTCTCGGTAGAAAATTATGGAAGTGGTTTCCATACGGGTAATCCTGACCATCCCTTGGGGATGTTGGATATGTGGTGGTGGGTGTTTCCAGTTCGTGCAATTACTGGAGGGTGCTGCTGGCACCTGTGACCCTCCCAAACTGGCAGTGTGCCCTCCCCACACTTGGAATTCCCATTTGGCATATCTGCATTCTATCTTTAGCTCTTTGGATAGAAAGAATTATGTTGGATACAAGTGGAAAATACAGGCATCTTTAGAATATACAATGAAAAAAGCCCCCAAACTGATTTCCAAATGTGGAGTGCCATTAAAAAAAACCCCAAAAAACACACTTAGCTATATGATATAACCTTCTCTTCAGGTTTTTAAAAAAGATGCATTCCTGTAATAGGCTGTGGCATGATATATAACTGATTGGCAAAATTTCAAGCTTAAATTCCAAAAGTTTTGATATCTGGTCATTAAATCTTGCCTATGTTTATGATTTTTAAATAAAACCACTAATGCCATAACTAAGCAGGAGCAAAGAAAAAAAATGCACCCTAGGAATTATATCACAAGGAAATAAAAATACTGTATTCCTCTAAACAGATGTACTTAGAAGAGCTTTATAACCCAAAGCAAGATGTGGGAGATGGTTTAAGGAGAGGTTGCAATTTTGCAACAAGAAGTCTGTACAACTCCTCCAGGCAGTAGCTGTGAAGGAAGTACCTGTGTCTCCGAAACTTGTTTCCATAGGTTCTGGACACTTTTGCATCCCGGGCCCCAATAGTCACAAAATCAGGCATTTTGCAAGCTCAGAGCACCTTGCTCCATCATTATGAACTCATGTAATGACATTTCATCCTTTCATGTGCAAATTCTAAAATTCATTGTAACAGAAAAGTTAAAAGTTGAAAATCTGTCTACAATTTGAAATGAAAGGATCAAAAATGTCAGACATTGCAGAATACTGGTTCCTAACAGAGGTCTCTTTATTTGGTCACTGACCCTCAGTCATTTGTGTGTGTTTGTTACAAAACGCAGTCTTGACTCTTTATTTAAACAGTGCTTAAACTAAACTGTTCATGCCATGCAAAAATAACATTTTATGCACTTTTGGGGGGGATGGGGGAGCGTCCCATGTTTTAGTTCACAGGCATTATTAACCGCGTTTTTAAGAAACAAGTTTTTTTTGTTTTTTGTTTTGTTTTTTATTGCTTTTGTTACTAGTCACATGCTGGTTTCACGTGTGGGACAATAACCTGTGTCTCCCGGGTTGGAATGTATTTCTGGGGCAAACAAGTGGTTTTCCATCTTGCACCCTTCTTGACTATTGTCCTTTTTAACTTCAGCAACAGCATGGTAAATGTCTTGCCTACAGTTGTGACTCGTGTCCTGAGGAGAGGAAGAGCCCACACAGGCCTCTTCTCTTAAAGGGTCTCTCCCGTCACTAGGCTTGTCTGCACAGCAGTTGGGGCTGGAGTCGGCCTGCGTGTCCTGCCTGGCCCCTTGGAGCTCTAAGAAGTCATCGTCTTCGCCAGTGTCCACTTCCGTGAAGCTCCTCCTCTCTCTTGATGAGAAAGGAAAGAGTTTTTGCTTAGGAAACCGAGGGGTCAGCCCTCTGGAAGGTCCCAGACAATGTGGCGACCCCTCAGCGCCCAGCAAGGGTCTGTCTCCCGGTGCGGGGTTTTCTTCCAGGAGGATGGTGCTGATGAGCTGCGGGGCGGCGATGGAGAAGTCGGCCGCCGTGACCGGCAGTGGCCTGGCTGTGCTGGGCGGGGTCTGCGGCGCGCTGCCTCTGTTTTCCTTAAAATTCACTTTGAGCGACCTGGATTTCAGCGGGTGGCTGCCCCTCAGCGAGCTCTTAGGGCTCTCGGAGGCACTGTCAGACGGCTCCGGGCCGTGGAGCCCACTTTGGGAACCGCTGGCGTCGAGGTCCCCAGCTATACCCACCGGGGCATACTCTAGGGTGGCCTCCTGAGCCGCAGGGCCCTTCTCTCTGGCGAGTGTGAGGAAAGGGGGGCCCCTGGCTCTCTGATGCTCCTCGGTCCCCGTGAAGTCGGGAGGGAACTTCATCCGCAGGTGAGAAGCGGAGGACGGTGGCAGGGGTGACCTGTCGGTCTCGGTGAAGTCGGTGGCGCAGCTGGTGAAGCTGTCGATGCTGGAGGTGCTCTTCATGTCCATGATGACCTCGGCCTGCGCCACGGCCAGCTGCTCCTGCGGGCAGACCACCTCCTCCATCTCGATCTCCTCTTCGTAGGCGGACGGCCGCTCGGGCGGCTCCTGGCTGTCGGCGTCGGGGGGACAGTGCGGCTGGGTCTTGGTGATCTCATTGTACAGCATCTCCAGTTTCTGGGCACTCAGATGCTGTGGGCTGGAGGCAGAAGTGTTGTTCAGCTGCTCGTGGGAGTCTTTTTGGCTAACCTCCTGGTACTTATTCTCGTAGGACTTGTTGGAGCTGGTTTCCGACAGCGCCTTCCTGGCCCACTTCCAGCGGCTGGGAGACAGGTGATTATCGTCGGCCGAGTCCTTGGTTTTGGCCGGCTCTCCTGCCTTCTCCACAGACACGTCGATCAGTTCCATGCTGCGAGCGAAGGCGTCTTTTAAGTTCATGGAGACAATGCTCCCATTCCTTTTGGCCCTCTCCAGAGCCTCTCTCCTTTTAATTGCCTTCTCCTGGCGTTTCTGCTCCTTGTAAAACTCAGAGAAATTGTTCACAATGATTGGGATGGGAAGGGCGATGACCAGAACCCCGGCGATACAGCAGAGGCCGCCCACGATTTTGCCCAGTAACGTTTTGGGGTAGATGTCCCCGTAGCCCACAGTGGTCATGGTGATGGTGGCCCACCAAAAGGATGCTGGGATACTGGTGAACTTCGTAGCGTCTTCGTCCTTCTCCGCAAAAAACACCAGGCTGGAAAATATCATTATGCCCATGGCCAGAAACAGAATCAACAAGCCCAGTTCGTTGTAACTCCGCCTGAGGGTGAAACCCAGGGACTGCAGGCCTGTGGAGTGTCGGGCGAGTTTCAGGATCCGGAGGATGCGCATGATGCGGAAGATCTGAACCACGCGCCGCACGTTCTGGAACTGCAGGACGCTCTTGTTGGACTCGGTGAGGAAAATGGTGACGTAGTATGGCAGGATGGCCAGCAAGTCGATGACGTTGAGCGGGCCTTTGAAGAACTTCCACTTATTTGGTGAGGACAGGAAGCGTAAAAGGTACTCCATGGTAAACCAAGCGATGCACACGGCCTCCACGTGCGCCAGCTGGGTGTTGTCGCTGGCTTGTCCGAATTCGTCCGTCTCCTGAAGCTCCGGTAGGGTGTTGAGAGACAAAGCGATGGTGGAGAGTACGATGAACAGGATGGACACGATGGCCAGTATCTGGAAAAGAGAAGAAAGCCCGAGTGAGCAAATCTTCTTGGTTGCGTAGGCAGCTAGGAAACACGGAATCACCATTCTTTAAAGATACGGATTGCTCAAGGATACTCGAAGAAGGTAACTTTGCAACCTGAAATTCCCTGACGAATACAAATACATTCACTTTTTATGAGTTCATTGCACTCAGAAGCCTAATGTAGTATACACATTTAAATTCTAGGGCCTAAGTGATTGGAAAAAAAAATATCCATTCTTCCCTTTCTTGCCCATTGTTCTTAGGCACATTTTTGGGAATAACTGCCACTTGGAATAGTTTTGGGGGCTTGATCATCTCTCCTCTCTTAGTTGTTGGTAATTTTTTTCTCTTAACCCTCTGGTTTGTGTTTTCTTAAGCGAATCACCATACATGCTACGTAAGCGCGAAGGGATTCATGATTTGTAGAACTTTGATTCTACAGCTAAAAACATGAATGCAGACCTACACGTGGAGAGAGAATATGGCACTGAGAACAAGTGTTTCTCATAGAACAAATACTGTGTATGTGGTTAGTGCTGATGGCAGCATCGAGTCAGGAGATCCTTCGTCCTGAGATGTGTGGGCCTCTGGGCAGCCTCAGACAGGGAAGGAAGGTCGTGAACCAACTTCATTCAGTCCAGGAAGGTTTCAGGGAGAGGAGCTTGACGTCTGTCCATGATGATCTGAGTGCAGGGCAGACACTGTAGGCAGAGGGGTAGCATAGCCAGAATTCAGACATGGAAGGAAGAGAGAGGGCTCAATAATATGGAAGATGAAGGTCAACTGACTGGATTTTAGAGTCAGACATTCTGGACTCAGACCTTGGCTTTATTGCTTACTGTGTGATCTTGGGCAAGTTATTTAACCTCTGTGTTGCAGTTTACAAATCTATCGAATGAATCCAACAATCATAGTTATTTCATGTCTGTTGTGAATTTACATGGCTCACAGATATCACTAAATAAATGAAAGTTCCTCCTATGATTAGAGGCTGAAATGAACAGGATTTTTGGTCTTGAAAGATGAAGGCCAAGAACAGGTATCTGGGAAATCTGTGAAACTATGTAAGATACGGTCTGCCCAAGTTGGATTTCCTCGTTGGAACCCAGGGTTCCAGGTTGATAAGGCAAAGCATGAAGATGGAGGTTTAGGGCCATGGGAGGAAGCACTTGTTTGCTTAGGAAAGATTGTGTACCTAGAGCACACAATTCTTGGAGCAGGAGGAAACCTGAAACTTCCCTTACCTACATTAGGTCTGGCCTGATTTCAGCTGACCCTTGCCAATGACCTGGGAAGGTCTCACTATGTGTATGTCTGACAGTAACAGCTTAGAGAGTCAGCATCTAGTATACATTTCAAAAGACACTGATTAAACTTCTTGAGGCCACACAGTTCAGCAAGCATCAGACTGTGAAAAAATTAGTTTATCTCTAACTGACATCAGGACTTCTGAACTCCTCTCCTCTTGTTCTTCTTTCTCTCTCTTCTCTTTTTCCTTCTAAGTTTCTCTACTTTGGGGTCATTCTTCTTACCTTTCCCCTTTTCTCTTCTTATGCCTCCTTTGTACCTTTTATTGTTTTTCCATCCAGCTCCTAACTTTCTTCTTAAATTGCTATGAAGCAAAACCGTGGTATAATATATTTCATCAGATATTAAATAAAGATTTATGGTTCCTTAACTTAAAGAACAGTATTTAATCATTAGGTCTTTTATATATTTTTCTCAAACAAAATTAAATTAAGTACTTTTTACTTGAGTTCACTTCAGAGTTTCCCTTAAAAAGGAGGACACGTGAATTATAATAAAGGTTCTCCTCACCTACCCTAGGAGAGTTAGAAGGCTAAAGTTAGAAATTCCCTCAAGAAGGTTTAGGTAAACCCATAGAGAATGGACTCAGAGGGTTTAGTAAGGGCAAGTTGAAAATGCTCACCTTGAATGTCTACCCTCAGAGACCAATGGCAAGGTAAAATTTATAATATTTTGTCTCTAAAATATTCCTTAGGAAGCCCTGGTCAGATCCCATCCACTCTTAGGCTCTTACCTTACGGAACTGGGTCCATCTGTATTTTCTAAGAGGTCACACTATTACTAATATACTTTGGGGCATTTTAAGTGCTGGGATGGCTGCCATCATTCTTGTTCTGATAATTCATATTCTAGATTTTCCATATCATCTTATTGTTCACCTGCCCATTTTTAATGCATTTTACTGATGTTTATCCCTTCAAAGAGCAAGGAGAAAAGTAGAAATACAAATGAAACCATTCTATCATCTTCCAGCCTTTTGGATAAAGAGCAAAGTGGAAGGTCCAAAGTGGACCTTCTGATTTCCTTGACTCCACAATCAGAGTGAGCTTGTAGGTCATTTTACTTTGGTAGCTAATTTTTGGAAATAATGAAACATTGGATTACTCATGCAGTCTGTGTCTAGTTGATGGCAATTTAACAAACATGGCGACCTTCAACACCTGATTTGGAGTACATTCTTGAAGAAAAAGAATTACTATAAAAAACCAAATAAACATTCAAGCCCTTAGGGACCCCATAGTCATGTTAAAGAAACTGTAAGGTATTGAAATACATTACTTTCTATTTGGCTTATTTTTAAATATCATGTGAAACTTGGAGTTCTTCCAGAAAGACAACCCCCTGGACAGATTTTTCAATATATACCAAGGATGATGTGTGATGCAATAAGCCAAATGCAAGTTTATTGTCCTATTGCAGAGATTTTGTTGTTGTTTTTAACACAATAAATAGAACAAATGTGAATTTTTGCTCTAAGCTATAGGATACACTTCCCAACATGGAGATCTACTTTAGTACAGCAAACCCTTATGGCATTTAGGTATTGCTTTGTTTATCATAGCTATGCAGGAGTTGGGTTTTCATTTTGTCACCTCCAACAACTGGCCTCCAGAACTGGTGGTTTCTCTCAACTCCAGCAAACAGACCTATGTTTGTACAGGGCAAATGAGATGCAAATTCCAAACAATTATCTGTGTGATACTGGTCAACCCCCTTGGCGATCTGGATTAGATCATCTCCAAGGTTCATTTCACCTCTAATATTTGATGATTCTCTTTCTAAACTAAAACATTTGCTAATTCCAATCATGTCTGAAAACTAAACCTAGGAGAAGTCACACCTGGTCCTTTCCCTTAGGTTGAATTGCCAAAATCCAATTTTGTTGCTTAAGAAATTCAAATGGGAAAAATATCATGCTGTGTATGTTCTAAGCATTTAGTTACTGGGAACAGACATTATTCCTGGATAAAACTTTTCATCCCTTTTGAATGGTTTTAATACTTCACTTAGACACAGACATTCTGGGATGGCATGGGGTTAAGAATAGGGTCAACACTCTCACCACTGAGCCATGCCAGCCAGGGCTAGACTCCTCTCTCTAGTGAGTAAATGATAGATCTAGGGCAATGCCACGAAAGGAGAGTGAGTGGAGCGCATCCTTTGAACACAGTTTCATTTAACTTGATAGCCAGACCATAAAAAAAATCATTGAGCACTCAAGTTAGACATCTTTGAAATACTCCATTTCTCACTTTATAGATAAAGAAATGAAGATTCAGGGAGTCTAATAAATGCCTGGTGTGGGGAAGTGGTTGTAATATGGGACTTAGCTATTCCGGGACTCAGTAGTCCCATCTAGAAAATGTGGAAAAGAAATACCATATAGTGTTGTACTGAGGACTGTGATGGTTAATTTTATGTGTCAAAGTGTCTAGGCTCTGGTACCCAGTCGTTTGGTAGAAGTTGTTGTGAGGTATTTTTTTTAGATGTGATTAACATTTAAATCAGTAGAATTTGAGCAAAGCAGAGTTCCTTCCTAGAAGTTGTTGTGAAGGTATTTTTTTTAGATGTGATTAACATTTAAATCAGTAGAATTCGAGCAAAGCAGAGTTCCTTCCATAACACAGGTGAGCCTTATGGAATAGCTGAAGGCCTTATGAAGACGGGTTTCCCAAAAGAGGAGCAATTCTGCTTCAAGACTGCAACACAGAAACCCTCCCTGAGTTTGCAGTCTGCCTGGCCTGCTCTGTGGATTTCAGACTAAAGATTACAACATCAACTCTCACATGATTTTCCTGCCTGCTGTCTGGCCCTGTGCATTTGACTTGTCAGCCCTCACAAATGCACGGACTAATTCCTTAATGTGTGTCTGTATGTCTCTCTCCCAGCCAGGCTGGGACCCTCACTGCTTCCTGGGGATGTTGCTCCTCATTCCCCTTCACCCTCTGGTCACTACCTCTCCCCACTGTCCTCCATCTGTCCACATCCTACCACTTCCCATGCAGCGTCCCTGGGGCTCCAGGTCACCTGGTGGCCTGTCTCCTCTGGAGGCTCTCAGCTGTATCCCCTGGGTTGACCATACTCACTCACTCACTCACTCACTCACACATCTATTTTAATCATATATACCTGTGTATATACATTCTATTGATTCTGTTTCTCTAGATAACTTTACTACAAGAACAAACAATATAAAATATATGATAGTACTTTACAAACTCTAAAGTGCTAAATATGTTAATTATTAACTAACTTGAGACTTTCTCAAATCATACATCTATTCCTGTTGGCCATAAGAAGAATCCAGTTCCTTATTCTCTGTGTAACCCCAACACTTAGATGGGGTTGTCTCAACACCCCACAAAGAGCACATTCATGGGCTGGGTCATTACGAGGGCCACAGGGAGACAGTTCTATTACTTAGCACAAATGAACTGAGGAGAACTCCCTAAGTTGGACTTTTCTTAATAGCTGCCAACCTTCTGAGATGTTGCCTCTTCCACTTAGTTGAGCTGAAATGAACTCAGAAAGATGAGCAAAAGGAAAATGAAGATCAACACATATTACTTTCTAAAACCACATGTAAATGGTTAACTAATGTTAATTACATGCCATCTGGATGCATCCCCAGTGGAGTGTGCAGAATCAGCAATTGATTCTGACTTTGAGACCCTTGTAA